ACCTTATTTCATCCTCCCTACACAAAATACAATAACTTAGCTTTCATTTCATCTCTCACTGTCCTCCTCATACTCGTAAGTGGAGTTCCCCTCAAGCATAAGGCTGTGATGTGGATGCTATGGGCATAACTCTCTCATTCTTGGTACCCACCTGCATTAATGGCCTCTATTTGATGAACCCAGGTGGTGAACTTTTTGACTCTGCTTGGAAATGGTGAGAGTATCACGTAGGATTGTGGATTGGCTTCCTAGGTGTGGCTGTTCTGCTTATAACATGGTGCTTATTTTTGGCTAGGCAAGAAAAAGTAGTTGAAAAAATTCAAGCTTCAGATTCATCCTAGCATCGGCAACGACAGCATATGACAACCGCCAGGCTTCGGAATTATGGATCTCTTCAGAATATGCTGTCAAAGTCTTGGGCCAAACATAAGAATTGTTTTTAGATTATTGTTACTTCAAGTTTGTTCTTGTTACTTTCTTTTAGCTAGTTCTCTATTATTCGCCTCACACATGGTAATAAATTAATTTGTTTACTGTTCTGTGATTGTGTTTTTGCTTGAGTAGGGGTGTTAAACTCTGACATTTCCACAAGTTTTATTTTTCTTCCGATGTCGGTTTGCAAGTGGAACTTGGTGATTGACTGGAATGCAGCATCAGAACTATTACATCATGAATAATGAAGTTTATTATCGATGCACAGTCTACATATATATATATATATAATAATGATAACGGCAAATATATATATATATATATATTAATATATAACTAGCATATAAACCCCCGTGCGATGCACGGGAAGAGTTCACTTCAATCAATATAATCAACAATATTAATTTATCACAAAAAATATCAACACATTATAACACATTTCTATAATAAATAATGATTTGAAATTACCTCCTCTATTTATAAAGCAGTACATACAGTAACAACTATAACTTTGTCGCAAGCCAATTAATTATAATACTATTTAGTTTAAAATTTTCCACATTATTATGATTTCTAATTTAAATATATTTTATTTATTAAATATAACTTTTTCCTATGATAATAATTTAAAATTATTATATTTGGTAAATTCATAATTTTTAATCATTTTTCATTACTCAATGAGTCATACCTATTCACCCCAAATTTGGAATGGCATTTTAAAATCACATTTTTATGCAAAATTTAACATTTATTTGCTTGTATGTTTTTTTGTATTTTTCATGAAAAGCAAATTAGTCTTGCACATAGGAGGTATGCTATGTACAAAAGCCAGAGACATTTTCTTATGGAAGAACCTGTAAAAACTTGTTCCTCCTTTTTGTCCTCCCAATCATTTTGTGGTTCCCCAAAAGGATGTCATGAAGGCAACAAAATATAGCCCAATGGTCAAAGACCCTGTACCAATTCAACCTACCAATGCCTCCAAACTCACTTGAACAATATTCATGTCTTTAATGTGACGTGATTTTCTTTTGCAAAGCTCTTGAAGGGATTCTTTCAAGACAATACCATGGTTATTGCTGCCAATGGTTCCTTGATATGAATATGAATATACTTTATGAGCCTATGTACAATCAAAGAGACCCAACGGCCTTACTATTTTAATACTTTCATGCTTCATACTTTTGGATCTCCTTTTCTTCTCTCTTCCTGATACCTATTTGAAGATCAATAGACTCAATGCTTCAGTCACCTAAACTTGACTCCATATAAAGGAAACAATGCCTTGGCCTGATCTTGGACGTAAACATTTATTCAAAGAGGCAACTTAGGAAATTTCCAGTAGAAGTGTGTCTGTCTATGTAGTCATGTTTGCAAATATAAAGACTCTGGGAAACAACATCAAATATGCCCCTGCAGCACCAGCATTGCAAGAACATCCAAAACTCATTCCTTTGAAAAGTATAGAGGCAGGCTTCTTTAACATAAATGCACTTATTATTTATAACATAAATAATCTGTCCCAAGGCTTAGATAGATATTCATTATAATACTGAGAACCATGAAAAGATATAATGAGAAATTATATTTTTCCCAAAAAAACTTGCTGTATCGGTCCATGCATTAAGAATATTGTATCATCATGTTTACTAAAAACTTGGAAATTCTTCCATCTCCACCCCCAACAAATCGATTTCCTCAAGTAGCACTGATCCTGCCAGTTCCAGTCTAACATTTCACAAGGAGACATTAACTGCAAACTTACATTAGGCCAACAACACAAATATGTCCAGAATACAAGAGAACAATAATGCTCACAAAAAGAGCAACAAAATGCCACAAATGAGCTCTGACCTTGGTAACTCTTGGGTCTTTGACATACCACCTCAAACCTACAGCTCATTAAAAGAGTTTATTAAATGGATAAACCCATACTCCATTGAGTACCAATTCTCATACTTAGATATGTACACTATTGGATTCAAAATCCATATTCCATACCAAAAACCTTATATGTTGCAAGAGGTGAGTTTCATTTTGATATTTAGAACACCTCAACAATTCCAACAAAACACCAAATAGTCTAATTCAAGAACCATGCACTATAGCAAGGATGGGAAGCAAATTAATACTAATCCATTTGGAGAGAAATAAAAAACAAACACTATGGTAAGGGTGACATCTCATGTGACAAAAAAAAATACACCACTATTCTTAAATGAAAGTATGAAGCCCACAAGGCACTGTTAAAACTGCAGATATTAACAAATTAAATTGTATATACTCTTCATGACAATTAACATCAAGCCTCCACCAAACAAAATAGCATCCATCATACAATACCAAATAAACCTTCTATGATATTAAACAACACTGGATGAATATCAAGAAGGAAAACAACAAATATGAAAATGCTGATATGAGAGCAGAAAAAGAGTTAACCTTGATCTCTCTTCACCAAAGCAACTAATCACCATACCAGTTTTTGCAAGTAAATGTAAGGCTGATGTTCAACCTATAGCTTCCACAACACAATATCCAAGCAAAGCACACCTTATTCTATTCTTCCTATATGATGATGAACTTAGATAGTCTCATAAAAAAATGAAGTAAGACATTGGAAAAAGATAATTGTACCAAAAAATGCAGAAACCTAATCATACTGGAAGGCAGAATATTAGGGTGAACGCACTATTGAGCCATAATTACCTTTGAACCAAAGACGTTGTTCGTGAAAACATTTGTGTGCCTTCTCGGGGGCCATTAATGAGACCACAAAATGAGAATTAGCCCAGTATTTTTAGGAATAAGTCCGTGCATCAGCATATGCCACTAAACCTACCCAGCTACCCCCCTATAACTTAGACGAGAAAAAATTAAAACCAGTATTTAAAAATAAACAATGGAGGATTTGAATTGACTTTGTAGTACATAATATGTAATAGAAGCATAAGCTTTGAGAATAGATGATGAACACCTGACAATGAAATATAAAACGTTCAGCCTGTTTTGTGAAGAATTTTAAAAACCCTTCGTTTAGCAAGGAAAACCCATTACAGAAAATAAAATACATTAAATAAAAAGACAAAATAAAACTGTGAGGAATACTTGAAGAGGATATGTAGAAAGGTGAAAGGATGAAGAAAGCTAGGATTTACCTGCAGGTTCTGCCCAGAAGCACTCCTTGCTGTTATATGAGAGCGTCCTACCATATCTATCACCACCCTCACCCAACGGTTGTCGCATCGGAGACCGCAAACTCAAGCTCCCACAACGGTTTTGCAAGAACGATTCACCTGGGAAATTGAGGAGAAGAGGGGGAAAAAAAGAGGAATGGGAAAAGACAATGGGAAACACGTAAAAGGAGAGTAAAAAATAAAGAATAGAAAGAAGACGATTTACCATGCAGAAGAAGCAAAGGAGTCCACATCTGGTGACAACGTGAGAACTTGCTAAGAGCATAACTAAAGCTAAAATGACGAAAAAATGAAACTCGAAGCAAAAAATGAGGGCAACGGAGAAAAGTATACGACTTATCAAGACTACAGAAAGCGTGTTGCAAGGGAGAAAGCGTGTGGCAGTCAATTTTGGGATATGTTATAATTAATTTTTTTTCATTTTTCCAAAAGCCAAAAATTTACACATTTAAAAAAATCTGAAAATTTTACTATATTATAAAGGTAAGCAAAACTATTTATTTTACTACGTCAAAAAATATTTATATTATAATATGTTATATTTTCAAAGATAAAAATTATTATAAACATTAAAATATTTAAAAATTGATTTTTTACCGTATTAAAATTCAAGTAATTTCTGCATCTATAATTAATTTTTATTTAAAACTGTTAATATTATTGCAACCGTAAATATATGCAGTAATTTTATATTTACTTCTTTATATTTATATTATCATATACATTTCTAATATTAATTTTTATTTGCTTATTATACTTTAAAACTTTGTATATAACGTGGGGAGGATCAAAAAAGCATCATAAAGAAATCCTGCAGATTTTGAAACCAAAGAGTGAGAAAGAGTTGAAATGGAGGGAACTTCAAATTTTGAAACTCCCATCTGGACACTTTAAAAAAAGTACTTGGCAAAAAAAAATACAATACACAATTAAAAATAGGCGCAGCCCAAAATTGAGCCGCTACTATTCCTAAGCTGGTACTGTTCATAGAACATTATTTGAGTGAGGAGCCATTATGAAGGTGAAAATGAGCCGGCTTGTAGTTGATTTTGATTTAATTATAGATTGATGATAACTCTCCATTTTGAGCATTTTTACATGGTTTTGAGTGATTTTTGGAGCGTTACTATTAGAATTTTGATGATATCTAAGAGTTAATTAAAGAAATTAATTTGGAGACCGGAGGAGTACTAAAATTTAGAGATTAAAACAAATAATCTTGAGGAAACTGTGTCTTCACTCGCGTATTAGACACACACATTAATATTTATTCTGATTAAATTATTTAAAAAATAATTTAATTATTGCATCTCGTGCCACCGAATCTCTCACACCCAGTAAAACAAAGCAGACTAGGATGATATAAACCAGTTTGATACTTTCACAGTTGTGTTTCTTGCTTTCTTGGGAATTTTCACAATTTCTTGGTATGCATGAATCTACTTTATCAGACAGACGACCATTGCAAAACACCTCCAGGTCCCCAGCCTCCCCTTGATCGGCCATCTACTCCCCCTCAATTTTGAGCTTCCCAAATACTCACCCTTTGGCTCAAACCTACGGTCCCATCTTCTCGCTTCGACTCGGAACCGAACATGGCATCGTCGTGTCCTCCCCTTCAATGGCTCATCAAGTGCTTAGAGACCATGACATCATTTTCGCCAACCGTGACGTTCCAATCGCTGGTAGGGTCGCGACCTATGGCGGATGCGACGTAGCGTTTTCGCCTTGTGGATTAAATTTTTCCCAAATCAGCTTTTTTACTAATATAATTCACTTTAAATATTTTAAAGCTAATCTCTGCGTTTCAGGGGCTAGAACAATTTTAAATTCATAATAACCTCTCAAATAATTTTTTATATTTTTTATAAATATTGAGGCTTCATATATTTTATATAATTCAATTCGGCCAATTTTTTCTTATTAGCCAAAATTTCATGGAATTACAAAAAATTCCAAAATAAATTATTTTCATGCTATTTTCATCTTTTAGGCCTCAAACACTATTCTAGACCCTTTATTATATTTTAAAATGACAGTCCGATTCCTGGTCAGGTTTCAATTTAAAAGTTATTCTCTATCTATCTACTATGCTATTTGGCCCTCAGTCTATTATATATTCCCTATTTTCAAGATTAAAATTAATAAGACGTGACACAAAACTCAAGGATGGAGATGGTAGAAATGGATGGGTAGCGGCGGGAGAGGATGGGTCAAGGTCAATGTTGACGGTGATCGAAGCAAGCTATTTAGGGGGGCGGCGTGCGGAGGAGTCTTCAGGGACCATCAAGGTCACATTCTTCGTGTGTTCATGATAAACGCTGGGATGATAAGTAGCGCCATGGCAGAATTATGGGTCATCACTTGCTGGCTGAAGATTGCATGGATTATGGATTTCGACGACTGGTACTAGTAAGAAATTGTCAGGAGGCTGTGGATTGGATCAAAACGGGCGCGCGGATTCTAAATGACAATGAGCCCGTTTTAAGAGAGATCTCCCCTCTTTTGAGCAGAGAATGGACTGCGATTGTGAAAACCTACAAAAGAGAGTCTAATATGGTTGCTGGTATCCTAGCTAAGAAGGCCCTCCAGGTGGCCTCCTGGATTGGTCTCCTTTGAGTCCCCCGTGGAGGACATCCGACCAGTGCTCAAGAAGGAATCTAGATCTTATGTCTAATTTTGTGTAGTTCTTTTGTTGCGTATAAAAAAAAAAAAAACAAAGAAAGAAATAATTATTTCACTACTTTAGTTGTTGTTGTCATTTTAGAAAATGAAAATTGTTATTTGTTAAATCAAAGTTGAGAATTCATTAACACTTTTGAATTAAGATGCTGAATTTTTGTAAAACTGACTATCATGTTTTTAGTTTTGACACTGTTACGTTGTCATCTCATGAAGGGAAAGTTCTATCTATTGAACAAAATTGTTAATTTTTGTGAAATTATTAGTTCTCTCCTCTCTCTCATTAGTTATTTTTACCATTTCATAAACTGAGCTTGTTAACCCACAAAAAGATTTTTTCTGAGTAAATCAAATATGATATATTGGTGGTCTAACAAGAAATTTTAATTGCATCACATTTACGGAATCTCACAACCTGTAAAACAAATTAAGACTAGGATGATAGACAATGATTTGAAGGGGCTAATCTAAACCTCAGCTTTCTTATGTGCCAAAAAAACAAAAAACAAAAAAACCCACCTTTCTTATAAAGTCCTTTTGGCTATTCTTCTGGCTTTAGGAATCTAAATATTAATAATGATATATCTCCCAGCTTTCATTCATGATCTGATGTATTCCATATACCCGTTTGATGCTTTCACAGCTGTTTTTGCAGTTTCTTGTTATGCATGGGTCTAAAATTATTTTCCTAAAATTAAAGAGAAACATTCTATAGAACTCTCAAATTAAATGCAAATAACAATTGATAATAAAAGGTAACAATCAAATTAGAACCATATATCAAAATGCATGAATATCTTAAAATCCCAATTAATCATCATTTCATATTTCATCACATGTATATATTCCAAAAGTCTCACTCTTGCAGGTCCACCATATCTACCCCACTCATATTGGAAAATCTTGCATTCTACTTCTCGTACGTCTTTGGCTCCGACCCACGTTCTCATCTTTTTGCTCAGACTAGCTCCCAAATAAAGCATTAACTCTTTCGGGAAAAGATGCCAATTCAGTAAAGTATATGAACCGACAAAGGTGATGAACATCAGCATTTCATTATTTGTGCGGTGCATGCATGTGCAAGTTGTTGTTTTAGTAACAGCTTTCAATTCGTCTTCTTCTAATTAACATTTCTGGAAATGCCGACCAATTCCATTCAATACCTGTCACAATAGTGGGCCAAGAAATATTGAATGGTGACGTAGGCGGGGTTTCCGAGGAATACAAATAACCTCGGGTTTTTTTTCAGATTTTCTGGACGGTAATCAATGTCCACAATAACGCGTTATCCTGTCCATTCTATAGACAAATCGACTTAGCTTGTCCCTTTATTTT